CACACACACGTGCCACCATGCTTGGCTAATTTTTGTGTTTTTTATTGTAGAAACAGGGTCTCACTATGTTGCCCAGGCTGGTCTCGAACTCCTGGACTCAAGCAATTCTCCTGCCTCAGTCTCGCAAAGTGCTGGGATTTCAGAGCCACCATGCTTGGCCATCTTTTTATTTTTTTTAACCATTTGGCTTATTCTTAGTGTTAAGCCAGGGGTGGGGCATTTTGAGTGAAAGAAAATGCCAGTGCATTTCTTTGAGTGCATGTACAACATGAAGGAAGAGAAGGCTTTTTTTAGATTGCATTTTCCAAGACTGTCTTCCATGTTCATTTGAGAATGTGTCATGAGCTGACAAATGTGGACAACTTCATAACTTCTGACACATTAGGAAAGTATAGGGACACCAGAGAAAAAGCTTAAGTGAAGCTTAGGCCAGAAAGTGAGGTACATACGGAAGGGGGGAGACCCAGGGGCGTGGGCATTTCTGCCATTAAGAGACTCCACCTTCTCTTCAGTCAGTGGAATCTTTTTTTTTTTTTTTTTTCAAACAACAAAATCTCTGTGCTTTAAATGCCACTTACTGGCTTCCAAAACAGGAAAAGGTTGTCAGGGAGCCAAAAACATCCTGGAAATGAGTCCTCATGGGTCTGTGTCAAGGAGAATGACTTCACAACTCACTGAATTAATAGTAAGTTGTAGGGGGCGGGCAGCAGCAGGGTGACCAGCAGACCTTTGCCGAGTGACCACATGTGCCCACCTGTGAGGCCAGGGGGACTCACCACACCCGAACCATGGGAGGGCGGGCAGGGTGGGGTGTCTGAACTGTAAACTATGTGGCCCACTCCTCCCCACCCTCCCAACCTCTTAATTGGTTGAGTGTCATATCCTTCAGGTCTGCAGAGGTGAAAAATGTTGCAACTCGCTTGCCTGGGTGCTTGGAATGAAAGTCTAGGGTCAAAGGCAGATATTAAAGAGCAGGTAGAGTCTGTCTTCAATGTTTAGGATCTCATATGCAAGGCCAGAGCAACTCACATAAAACCAGTTGAAATACATAACCCTGTGTACAAATGGAGCAAGTTTGACTTGCCAACCCAGTAGCAGTTGGGAAACTTATCAGTTTAACAGAGGAAGCCAGCAGTGTCCTCTGCCAGTTGAGGGCTTTTTCAATTTGCAGCATTATAGGATATCCTTTGCTGTGAACTGCCTCAGCTTCCTCTTGTGTGAAGCATTCTAAGTTGGGAGGCTTTCTTGGGGTGTGGAGGTGATCAAAGACAGCTGTCATCTAGCTGCTGTGATCTGTTTCCTCAAAACAAAGAGGCAGAGAAAGAACCTTACGTAGGGCACTTTGCATCTAAGTGTTAACAATTGTCCATTCCTCATGTACTTAATAAGTGTTGAGCACCTGCCATGCTCCAGGCACAGCATGGGCTTTGAAGATAGAGTGAGAACAATCCTGGCAAGATCTCTGTCCTTACAATACATGAGGTGGACAGTAATCACCCAAACACAAAAATGAATTCCAACAGTACTATGGCCAGGGCTGTTCGTGGCCCTGTGGCAGGCACGAAGTCAATGGTAAGTGTACAGGTATTCCTTCCTATCCTCACTCTCCCTCTCCCAACGCCACTTTCTGTTGTTGGGGACCAGTTAGATTTAAATACATTTTCAGATGAATCCCACACTATTTGAACTGCCACATTTACTACCTGAAACTCAAGGACACATGGATTTGGTAACACTGTATCCCTCAACACTCAGACTTGCTCTCTGAATTCTGATATTTGAATGCAGTAACCAAGTCAATTTGGATAAAGAGGGATGGGTATAAAGATAAGTGAATGGGCCAGGCACAGTTGCTCACACCTTTGGGAGGCCAAGGCAGGCAGGGTGCTTGAGCCCTGGCATGCAAGACTAGCCTAGGCAACATGATGAGACCCCATCTCTACAAAAAATCCAAAAATTAGCCGGGTATGGTGGCGCAGGTCTGTAGTTCCAGCTACTCGGGAGACTGAGTTGGAGGATTACTTGAGCTGAGGAGGTTGAGCCTGCAGTGAGCTGTGATCATCCCACTGCACTCCAGCCTGGGCGACAGGGAAACCCTGTCTCAAAAAAATAGTAAGTGAATGGCAAGTGAAAGGCTATGGGCTATATTGTCTCATAGGCAGGAAAATGGAGGTTGAGGATGTTCTGCTCAGTGATGGCTGGTACTGAATGAGGCGTGCAGGTCTGTGTGCAGCAATATAAAAAATCATTAATGGAATAGGCTCACACTTGGGACTTTGATAGTGTGTCTGTCATTTAGCCCTTTTCTGATACTCCGTAAGACAGACTGGACCTTAACCTGCTCATTTGCATCTGACTTTGCCCGAAAAGATGAACTTTGCAGAACTTTGTCCTTTCGAAGAGACCATTTTGGGGACTAAAAAGGTCTCCATGCTTTCTGAGCTCTTCTCCAGGTGGGAATCTCTGGATGACCCAGACATTATCCCATTGAGTCCTTCCTTTTTCCTGGCAGCTGTTCGGTACTTGCCCAACTCCAGGGACACAAGAAACCAGACTCAGTTCTGCCTCATGGCTATGAACATTAATCACAGGGTCTTCCTGAGTCTTCTATGTACCCCATTTGAGAGTTAAAAGAGACCTTGATCTGTAGAAATAATAGTTGCGATCTAGTTGTGTCTAGCAGGCCAGAACCAGTGGACATGTGTGTTCTTGCAGCAGAAAAGGGGAGAGCTCTGCTGCTACTTCTACAGTGGGAAGTTACTGTAGTGGACATCTGGTGTTTCTGCTATCCAGCCTCCATATACTTCTCTCTTGGTAACATCACCTCCACCTTGAGTGTCATTGTTCAAGTCACTGGATGACGTCTCACCAGAAACCATTATTACCTCTCAACCTCTCACTTCCTAAGGTAATAAGTTCCTTTCATCACTAAAGCCAGTTGGAATGGGTTTTTTTAACATTTGTTATTGAAAGAATCCCAATGGATACAACTGTCTATTCTTTCCCCCAAGTATCTCTGAATTTCTTCTGGCCTGTCTCTTCCTTTTCATGGAACTAGTAATTTGTTTCTGAAAAATAGTAAAGCAATTTCTTAGTGGGAAAAGAGTTTAATAAAGAGGAGTCAAAAAAAGAGATAAGCAGTTGTCTTCAAAGTCTTTATGACTGTTTTCATGACTGTTTCAATCATTCAAAAACATTTATTCAAAACCATTTATTGAGTACCTTTTGTGTACCAGACGGTATTCAAGATGGTGGATATGGTTGTGGTTCACCACATGAGCAAAGTTTTGGCTCTCCGTAAGCCCACATCCTAGAGAGGGGCAGGGGCAGGGAGACAAACAATAGGCAAATTAGTAAATCAGGGAAATCTTGGGGAGTGAAAAGTGCTTGAAGAGTTAAGCAGGATGTTGCAATTTGGGCTCTGGTCAAGTAGAGCAGGATACTCCTCTTCCTTTCACTAAATGCAATTAACAACCCTGGACAGAAGGCATGGAGAAGCTAACTGAGGATTCTAGAAAAAAAAAAGCAGGAATATTTTGGAAGGAAACCAGAATTCAAAACACTACTAAGCTGTTGGTGAGTTTCCCATTTTCTTTCCTCTGGTACCTCTCAGCCGGGATCAGAGACCACCTGAAACCCAGAACTGTACACAGGATGCGGACAAAGACGTCTCCAAAAGAATCCCTGTTTCTGGTCTGAGGAATGGGAAAAAGAGCCCCGAAGAGTCAGAGGGAGTGTAGAAAATCTCTGTGTTTTGTTTGTTTGTTTATTCTTTCCTTCCTCAGCCCCTGGGCAATCAAGTGACAGTGATGGTGGCAATGGAAGTAGCAGCCAGGCAGGTACCTGGAACTCTGAGAAAGGGGAACCTTTGTCTCTGACCAGAGGAACCATGATCCTAAAAGCATGGGGGGAATAATTGTTACCTTTGTCTCTCTCTCTCTCTCTCTTTCTCTCTCCCCAACCCCCCGCCCCAAACCCCAACACACACATTGCTTTGGTCCCGAAGATAGACACAGTCACAAGAAGTGCACAGCAGAGGAGGAAAATGAAAACCCTGGTCTTTAGCCAGAGGACCAAGGCATATCTTCATTTCTTAATATGCTAATTGCTTCAGAAGGTGGAGGTGGCTCAGGGCCTCTCAACTTGAGACTAAGGGGTTATGGGTTGTATTATTATCTCCATTTCATAGATATGAGCCTAAGAAGGTTGTTTTTCTTCTTACTTAAGCTTTTCCTACTATGCCATGTTGTCCATGGGCAAGTCAAAGGTATCCTACAGCCCGTAAGAGTGGCACAGTGCTTATTTGCAACCTTTAAGAGAGGTGGCAAGATGTGGGATTCATGGAGAAATCCCTGCTTTGCTTGGATTAGTCCTGTAAACAAGGTGGCGTAGGTGAGACTGGGGTTGGCAGGTGGGATGAGGGTCTCCCTTACTTCCTAGTTTCCGTAGCCTGGAGAAAAGGGATGATCAGTCTGGTTTGAGATCCACTGGGGGGTTCATTGCCTTTCTTTGCAATGCCTTTGCTCTTAGCTTCATTTGTCCAAATTCCTCTCTCCCTGGGCTCTCCCCATACCAGGCAAAGGCTGAGCTGGCTGATCTCCCCACCTGTGGCCCTGGAATTCCCCATTTCTGCTAATGAGATCAGGACATGGGCTCTTCTAATTAATCCAGCCCTCACGCAATCTTCCCCACATGCTCTCCATACCAGGGAGCAGCTGGGGGCAGGAAGAAGGGACCCCAATCCCCAGCATCCTGAGCACACTCTTTCAGGGCGGGTTGGGAAAATGAAGGTTCACCAATTCAAAGGCGGAGGGGAAATGGTTCAGCCTTTGGGACTTGTATTTGGTGTGAAAGTTGCTTGCCTCTGGGTCACAGCTCTGCAGTCAGCTCCCCTACTTGCCTGGGAGTCAGGAAGAAACTTCTTGGCCCCAAGCCCAGTTAGGGGCAAGGCACTGGCTGGAAGGAAGGTCAGGGAAGGAAGGAGGTTGTCCGCCAGAGGCAGCAGCCAGCCAGCCCAGCCCAGCCCAGCCCTTCTCTGGTGCCTGCTGCTGTGGTCCTCTCCCAGAGAGTGGGGGGCCTTCCTCCATCTGCCCCATGAGGAAAAGAGCAGTGGAGGACCATGGAAAGGGATCCAGAGAAAGAAGGAAACACCAAGTCCCAGGGGCATGAGCTGGAAGGGAGGGCTGCTCCTCCCAGGGGAGGCTGGCGACTGAGAGCTGCCACCAACAGTGGAAAAGGAGGGAGCTGGGCAAGACCCAGCATTGTTAGTAACCAGCTCTGTGGCCTTGAGTTGACCTCATTGATTCTCAGTCTCCTCACTTGGAAAAGGGCAAAACAGCCACGTGCAGGCCGTGGTGGGCACCTGGGCTGTCTGCAGATAGCTTGGCTCATTGCTGGTCCTCAGTACACAGCCCTCATAGCCAAGCAGCCTGAGCCTACACTCTGGGCCCAGGGGAGTGACTGTCGCTGGCATCCCCTAGAGTAACAGGCTCCAGGAGTCAAAGATTCCTTAGCTGGAAAGGTCTAGAAAGAGACTCCCGCTCTGCTCCCTCCTGCACCAGCGCTGTGTCCCCCAACGGCCAGGCAAGGCCGTTGGATGCCGCTGGCCCGCTCACTGAGGATCTGTTGGCTTCAGCGAGTGGAAGGACCTGCTCGGCTGGAACTTTTTTTTCCCCTCCCAGACGACGTCCGATGGGTGTGTCGCGCAGGAGGTGATATTTGACGGGCTGCGCGCGGGCGAGCTGCCGCGGAGTGCCCAGCAGGGGCTGACAGCATGGCCTCGCCCGACCCGCCGGTCACCAGCTACGCCCCGTCCGACGTGCCCTCGGGGATCGCGCTGCTCGTCACCATCCCTTTCGCCTTCTTCCTGCCGGAGCTGGTGAGTGCGCCCCCCCCCCCCCGGCCACCTGCAGAGAGAGAGGAAGGGGGAAACCGGCCTCGGCCCCAGACCGGACCGCGCCGAGAGAAGGGAGACCGAGCGCAGGGGCTGCGGTGGCTGCGAGTCTCCCACCGGGCGCACAGCGGGGTGCAGCTGTACTCAAGAGACAGATCCCACTCTGCGCCCCGTCTGATGCCGCCAGGGGGGTTCCGCCCTCCAAAACAAAACCCACTTGGGTGTGGAGGCCTGGGGGGACATTGCTCAAATACTCAGGATTCCCAGGAAAATGTTGGAAATGAATTATAATTACCTGGCTTCTTTTGTCCAACTATTTGTGCCTTTCTGATTTGAAGTGGGGAGACTGTGTTTCCTTCTGGGAGCAGGTTTTCTTAATTGTCATGTCTACTGACTTTGAACTTTGACTTTTGTGGGGTCCCCCACACAAGGTAACTATGACAGCATCTGCCATAAAACAGTCGTGTGAGGCACCCTGGTTGCAAATGAGAACCTGTCGCTGTGTTACTCTCTGGGGCGCCCTGCGGCTGAGTCGTGGCCCTGATCCCTGGGAAGCCTGCCTGCTCCCATCTGCAGAACTGTGCATATGCAGTGTTCCGCACTGCACAAGTCCCCTCTGAACTGGCTGGTACCACATCCTCTTCATGGAGGAACACACTGAAGTCTGGGGTCCAATCAGGGCAAAAGAGTGTGTTTTGTTTTCGCAGCACCTTCTGAAATATCTAGCTTGTGGGTGGTATTTTCTTACCTGCCCTGAATTTGGCAGTGCTGTCTCTGAGCAGGGAGGAAAAGATAGAAAGTGGATCTACTTTTAATTCGGACGTGACCGGCCCTTCTCACTCTCGCCATCTGCCTGCAAAGTTGGGCCTGATCGAGCCACTTTTAGGCAAACTGGCTAATGGGTGACCATTGATGGCAACCAGAAAGAGAACCAGGTAGGGTGGGCCTAGCATCTGAGTGGCTCCAGTTGAAACTCCACCTAAGAGGCAGGTTTCTGCCAAGGCTACCATCCCCAGCACAGCGTGGGCATCCTGCCAGACTGATGACATAACCGTGCTCTGATGAGTCCTATGTGCCAGGCCCTGGGTGTGCCCCTCACCTTGGAGCAGCCACATGGGCGGCCGGGGTACTGGTTGACTCTGCCTCTTTTTATTGAGCCTGTGGTTTATGTCAGTCCTGCAAGCCCCTGGTGACAGGGCACTGCCTCCTGGTGATTTCCTGTCTGCCGGGGAGAGACTGTGAGCATCTCCTCCCCACGGTTGGATGGTAGCCTCAGCAAGGTGGGACCTTCTGAACTCTCCAGGCCAGGGAGGGGTCCAGGCCTGCCACCAAGAGTTGGACCTCAAAGAACAGGCATTCATAGACTGGGGGGGAAAGAGAGGGAAAGGCCTAGAGGCCAGGGGAGAAGTCCTGGAAGCAGGCTAGAGGCACGGTGTTTCTGGAATCAGGACAGCACCCAGGGTGAGAACTGTGAGAGGTCGTGGTATCTCCACCCGCCCTGCTCCTGCCAGTGAAACTCCTGGGAGAGCAAAGTGCACGCTCATGTTGGGCTCCGAGGCCTTACGTGGTGTGGGGGGGTGAGGGGCTCAATGACAATCAAAATTGACATTGGCCCAATTGTCTTCATTTACTTGTATTGTTAAGTAATGTGAGATTTACAGTAAAGCTGCAATAATAGTACAGAAAGTTCTGTGTACTCTTCCCTCAGCTGCCCCTAATGCCTGCATCTTCCATGATACAACTCTTGAAATCAGGAAACACTGATACTGTGCTATCAAGTACTCTATAAACCTTACTTCAGTTTTGCTAGTTTCCTCACTGATGTCCTTTTTCTGATCCAGGATCCTGGCCAGGATCCCACATGGCACTTAGTTGTCATATCTCCTTCATCTCCTTTAATCTGGGACAACCTGGGTCCTTACCTTGCCACTTCTGAAGAGTACTGATTAGTTTTTTGTTTTTTTTTTTTTTGCTTTTGTAAAATTTATTTTTCCATAAGTTATTGGGGTACAGGTGGTATTTGGTTACATGAGTAAGTTCTTTAGTGGTGATTTGTAAGATTTTGGTGCACTCATCATCCTTGTATACACTGTACCATATTCGTAATCATGTATATATATATATATCTCACAGTTTCTTTATCCACCCATTGATTGAGGGCATTTGGGTTGGTTCTACAATTTTGCAATTGTGATTTGTGCTGCTATAAACATGTGTGTGCAAGTATCTTTCTTGAATAATGACTTCTTTTCCTCTGGGTAGATACCCAGTAGTGGGGTTGCTAGATCAAATGGTATTCTACTTTTAGTTCTTTAAGGAAATGCCACACTGTTTTCCATAGTGGATGTACTAGTTTACATTCCCACCAGAAGGGTAGAAGTATTCCCTGTTCACCACATCCACACCAACATCTGTTGTTTTTTGATTTTTTTGATTATGGCCATTCTTGCAGGAGTGAGGTGGTAATCACATTGTGGTTTTGATTTGCATTTCCCTGATCATTAGTGATGTTGAGCATTTTTTCATGTCTGTTCCCCATTTGTGTATCTTCTTTTGAGAATTGTCTATTCATGTCCTTGGCCCACTTTTTGATGGCATTTTTTGTTTTTTTCTTACTGATTTGTTTGACTTCATTGTAGATTCTGAATATTAGTCCTTTGTCAGATGTATAGATTGTGAAGATTTTCTCCCACTCTGTGGGTTATCTGTTTACTCTGCTGTCTGTTCCTTTTGCTGTGCAAAAGCTCTGTAGTTTAATTAGGTCCCAGCTATCTATCTTCGTTTGTATTGCATTTGCTCTTGGGTTCTTGGTCATGAAATCCTTGCCTAAGCCAGTATCTAGAAGGGTTTTTCCAGTGTTATCTTCTAGAATTTTTGTAGTTTCAGGTCTTAAGTTTAAGTCCTTAATCCATCTTGAGTTGATTTTTGTATAAGGTGAGAGACGAGGATCCAGTTTCAATCTCCTACATGTGAGTAGCCAATTATCCCAGCACCATTTGTTGAAAAGGATGTCCTTTCCCCATATTATGTTTTTGTTTGCTTTGTCCAAGATCAGTTGGCTGTTAAGTATTTGGGTTTATTTCTGGGTTCTCTATTCTGTTCCACTGATCTATGTGCCTGTTTTTATACCAGTACCATGCTGTTTTGGTAACTATGGCCTTAGAGTTTAGTTTGAAATCAGGTAGGTTCATGCCCCCAGATTTTTTTTTTTTTTTTTTTTGCTTAGTCTTGCTTTGGCTATGCTGGCTCTTTTTTGGTTCTATGAATTTTAGAATTGTTTTTTCTGATTCTGTGAAGAATGATGGTGGTATTCTGATGGGGATTGCATTTAATTTGTAGATTGCTTTTGGCAGTATGGTTATTTTCACAATATTGATTCTACCCATCCATGAGCATGGGATTTGTTTCCATTTGTTTGTGTCGTCTGATTTCTTTCAGCAGTGTTTTGTAGTTTTCCTTGTAGAGGTCTTTCAACTCCTTTGTTAGTTATATTCCTAAGTATATTATTATTATTATTATTATTATTATTATTTGCAGCTATCATGAAAGGGGTTGAGCTCTTGATTTGATTCTCTGCTTTGTTGCTGTTGGTATATAGAAAAGCTAGTGATTTGTGTACATTAATCTTGTATCCAGAAACTTTTGCTGAATTCTTTATCAGTTCTAGGAGCTTTCTGGAAGAGTCTTTAGGGTTTTCAAGTTAAACGATCTTATCGTCAGCAAACAGTGACAGTTTGACTTCCTCTTTACTGATTTGCATGCCCTGTATTTCTTTCTCTTGTCTGATTTCTCTGGCTAGGACTTCCAGTACTATGTTGAAGAGGAGTGGTGAGAGTGGGCGTCCTTGTCTTGTTCCAGTTCTCAGAGGGAATGCTTTCAACTTTTCCCCATTCGGTATTATGTTGGCTGTGGGTGTGTCAAAGATGGCTTTTATTACATTAAGGTATGTCCCTTGTATGCCGATTTTGCTGAGAGTTTTGACCATAAAGGGATGCTGGATTTTGTCAAATGCGCTTTCTGCATCTATTGAAATGATCATGTGATTTTTGTTTTAAATTCTGTTTATGTGGTATATCACATTTATTGACTTGCGTATGTTAAACCATCCTTGCATCTCTGGTATGAAACCCACTTGATCATGGTGGATTATCTTTTTGGTATGTTGTTGGATTCAGTTAGCTAGTATTTTGTTAAGGATTTTAGCATCTATGTTCATCAAATATATCAGTCTGTAGTTTTCTTTTTTGGTTATGTCCTTTCGTGGTTTTGATATTAGGGTGATGCTGGCTTCATAGAATGAATTAGGGAGGGTTCCTTTGTTCTCTATCATGTGGAATAATGTCAAAAGGATTGATATCAATTCTTCCTTGAATGTCTGGTAGAATTCTGCTGTGAATCCATCTGTTCTTGGACTTTTTTTGTCAGTAATTTTTAAATTACTGTTTCAATCTTGCAGCTTGTTATTGATCTGTTGAGTGTACTAATTCTTCCTGATTTAAGCTAGGAGGGTTGTATTTTTCTAGGAATTTATCCATCTCGTCTAAGTTTTCTAGTTTTTTGTGCATAAAGGTATTCCTAATAGCCTTGAATGATCTTTTGTATTTCAGTGGTGTCAGTTGTAATATCTCCTGTTTTGTTTCTTAGTGAGGTTATTTGGATTTTCTCTCTTCTTTCTTTGGTTAATCTTGCTAATGGTCTATTAATTTTATTTATCTTTTCAAATAACCAGCTTTTTATTTCATTTATCTTTTGTGGGTTTTTTGTTTGTTTGTTTGTTTCAATTTCATTTAGCTCTGCTCTGATCTCGGTTATTTCCTTTCTTCTGCTGGGTTTGGGTTTGGCTTGTTCTTGTTACTCTAGTTCCTTGAGGTATGACCTTAGATTGTCTATCTGTGCTCTTTCAGACTTTTTGATGTAGGTGTTTAGGGCTATGAACTTTCCTCTTAACACTGCCTTTGCTATATACCAGAGGTTTTGATAAGTTG